CCTTGTTTCACGGCGTCCCTCCAACCATTTTGTCTTTTAATTTTATCTATTCCACATAAAATTATTTTTTTTTGCCATTCGGAATAATTATCATGACCACTCGTCTCCACAGAAGCTAATGCAACCGGTCCTGTTTGATCGTCTCTCTGCTGATCATCTATTGGGAGTTTCTCGGATATACCTGTCGTGTCCGTTTTCGGCTCAGGTTCATCCGAATTTTGGGCTAGGTAAGATATATCCTGAATTTTTTCGTTATGTTGCGATTTAAATTGTTGATTTTTTTGAATTTCTGATGTTTTTCGTTTTCCTCTTTTTTTTTTCTTTTGTTTTTTGTTAACAGATTTAGAAATAATAGTTTCTTTAGTCGGGGAATGTTCTCTCTCTTCCTTGTACACTACACCAGTGCGTACTCTATCAATCATTTCAACAATATTCAACAGAAAGATATATAAACATTCTTCGGATTTTGGCGAATAGGATAAAATTAAAAGTGCCTGGGCTGTACTATAAAACAGCAAGATCAAGTAATTCAAAGTGTCGGTATTTTTAAGGGCGCAAGTCTGTCAATAACATTTCAGGCAGCATTAATTATAGTTGAGAAGTGAAATTATGTCATTAAAAAATAACACATGAACGTACCTTTATCACGTGTATGATATTTTGCACGACTCGTAAATCCTGAATTCCTTGATTGAATTCGCAGTTGTCCTCTTCTTGGGTCATAAGTCCAGTTTCTTTGATCTTTTCGTCGATTTTTTTTGTCGAATAAAATTGTAATGCAGGCAAAATTTTCGTCAGAGAATATCTTACGCAGCATAATGATAACCTTTCTGTCAAGAAAATAATTAATTATGCAACAATTCTTATCGTGCGAATGAGAAAGGTGAAGGATTAATAATAACCATCAATTCCAAGTTCCGAAATAATCGATGAATTATTAATATCTTTGTGTTCTTCATCTATCGTCAGTAGCTCAGTAGCAGATAAAATACCGTGCGAAATCAAATTTTTTATCAATGTATCCAATAGATTTACAGACTCTTCTTCTACACTGTTTGAAAGAACATTGCAGAATGAATGGGGGGCAACGGATCGAAAGATGTTACGTAGATTTGGTTTTGAGATGGATTTTATATTGCTTAGAGCCTGGCAATTCATTCAAGGAACGTGGTCAGTTGGTAGTGCTTTGATAGATAGTAGAAAGGATGAGATTGTTTTACCAAACTGAATTTGTGGCACCAATCAGCAGAGGACATACAAGCCTCCAAAAATAAAGAAGTGCATTGGTTCATCGTTAATTCCGAATCATAAGTCACCGAGTCCTCTACTTCCGAAAATTCTTGATCAGATAATTCACAGAAAGAGAAAAGCAAAGCTGGAACATACGGTGGGTTCACATCGAATCTGAAATGGTTCGCACAACTTTTGATGAATGATCTTAAAAAAAGTTGAGTAGTCCATCCTTTAAGTGTAGGAATTAGAAGGTCAATAAACTAGAAATGATTAATATGAATAAAATTCGCTTGATATTGATTAATCCTACCGTATTCCAATGATTTTTTATAAAAATTCAAAATCTTGTTGGCATTAGACATGTACGTTTCTGACAGAATTTTCGTGAATCATTAGTGAGAGAAGGCGAGTAATTCTATTCAACCTTTTTTTCCGATGTCAAATTGAGATATCTTACCATTTCGATCGTGACCATTTCCCGGTGACTCTATGTATCCTGTCAAAAGTCTTAGCAGCTCTTTAAGCAGCGGATACACGACATTAAAATTTGTCATGGAAATCATTCCTTTCTTGCGTTGATCAAATAACAACACGACATTATTCAACAATATAAAAGGATTTGATCCTAAAGACCAGCTCATGTCCGCTTGTGGTGGTTTTGATGTATCAGGAGACAGTAGTGTGCGAAGGACGGAAAGCGACAGATTCATGGTATCCTCTCGACCAATTTTTGTAGAATTTTTCAAATATGGAACAACGCAATGTGTAATGTATTCTCTGGTGTCAATGAGAGTACCAATATTGCCCCATTCCCCAGTTTCAGACAATGACATCTCGGCAGGAAGTTTAGTATTAGTTCCCTGTGTGTACGCGAATTTTGAAAATGATAAAAAGGTCGCCAAAGATTCAGATATGCAGATAAACTGAAAGAATGTATTGAAATAACGAAGTATAAAATTACCGTCAATGCCAATACGATGAAAGAAACCCAATTTTTATGGTGCTGACGCGTAAGCACAATCAAACCGTCGTCTACCTCAGCCAATATCTCCCTAAACACCATAACAAGCAACGCAGGTGATTCCTGGGCCACGCGAGTCCAACAGACAGTTCTAATTTCACACAAAGCCTGATGGATTATTGGTCCCTGACCTTTATTTTGCACTGCTTCCCAAGTTAATCTTCGCAGTAGGTTGTAAGGGCATATTAGAGATAACTATAAAAGAACAAAATGATACAATAGTAAACTCAAAATAATAAGGAAATTTAGATCAAGATCGGAAACACGTACCAGGACCAATGAGTTTCTTATCTGTTGTTGTATAGAATTATCTTGTTTAAGTCTAACTTTAGGTTCATCCGAAGAATAAACCAATTGGTTACAAATGAGGGTGACTCTTTGTTCAAAATCAAGTGGCCAAATTTCCCAGAATTCAAGGGTTGGTGAAGTAATTGGCAAGTTTGAGGGTCTTTTAAAGTTAAAGAAGCAAGGTAAATCACAATTATTACTCAAGTCAAAAGCAATTGGATATGTCGATAAAGACCTGTCGTGAAGAATATAATCTCGAAATATCGCTCTCACGTGAAAAGACGTTTGGGAGAAAACTTCGATCAATAACTCAACGGCTGCCTGTCAGTATGACAAATAATCTTTTTTTTATTAACATGGTAATCGTTTATGTAATGGTTGTTGAATTTTGAGATACGTACATTGATCACTTCAAATCGACCTTGTTTATGATAGACTTTGACTATCCTCTTTACACTTTGATAGAGCTCGATGTGCAAATAATTTTCAAGGATTAAAATCGATATTTGTTTCGGATTGAACGATGTACTTCAAATATGAAGTAATAATAAAAATAATAAGTATTTGTTAAGCCTGAACATAATTGAAATAGCGTTGAACCTACCCCATGAAAAGATCAAGATATTGTATCATTAATTTTAAAAGAGACGCACATCCAGGAAGTCCGATATTTACACTCTCGTTTGCCCACTGAAGATACTCGTCAAGATCTTTTTTCACTGGACGAGTGGTAGAAGAATTCATTTTGAAAGACAACTCTGAATTAAACGATCGAAGAGCGAATGAAGTGTCGTAATTGAGATTCTGACGAATTGTGCGACATATCAAAACAAACGCTTCTTCATGTTTATTTAATTTATTGTCTCCATATTTGATTCGTTCCGCTGCATCATAAGCCAAGATGCGCTCAATCGCTTCAGTATATTTAATCTTGTCTTCATGTAGACTGTTTTAAAGATATCGACGTTGAATATAGGAGGTCGAATGGCTAAATGATTTACTGAGAAAATGATTATACATACCGCTTTGATATACGTGTTAAGCGGGACTGTGGCGTTTATTGAATGATGATTAGAGAATGTGATTGAATTCATAGGAATAATAGTAGAATAAAAAATGTTACCGTAGGTTTTGAAGGTTGCAACATCCTCAAATTATCCTCGCGCACAAATTTCAAAATATTTGAGATGGCAGCTTCATCATCCGCATCGAGCTCAGCTATCATGGTGCCAAACGCTTCTGCATAAATAGGTCCAATTAATAAGACCCATGTGTTCAATATTGTCTCATTAAATCAATATTTGGGTGACAATTTGCCTGAATTTTTTAGCTTTATAATAATCGTGCGAATAATAAACGTTTCTGAAGTTTGAAAATTCTCATCCTTTTCTTCTTTCGAGTATGCTGAACACACAACGAATGCAAGATAATCAAATATAGCCAAAAGATGTATAAACCATTTTTTTCCTTCCAATGAAAAATCACTGCCAAGTTGCAAGTGCTCTATGATGCTATAATTAAAAATAAATAGATATTAAAAAGCGCGTTTCTATAATATCAAAATATGGAAACAATGAATAGCTTTACCGCGCATCGTACAGAGAATCTGCATCCTTTGGCGTCCTTGGAATTGGACTTTTTTGTTGATTTTTTAATGTTTTTTTTGTGAATTTTCCAGAGTAAAGAGGTGAAGAATACATATGATCCACAAGCATGTCACAAACGGCAGCTTTCGTATTAAAGTCTTTGTCAAATGCATATCCAGATTCTCCAGACTCCAAGCAACATTCGATGTGTTTGGCTGTTGAACGAAGCAACTCATTTACCTGATCTCTGCCTGATAGTCAATGATTATAATTAGAATATTGACGAAGAATGTAATTTTTTTCTTTAATGAGATGTACCTGTGATTGAATCCATTACTAAACGTCTCAAGGTATAAATCAATTCCTCCCGGCAGTTGATATCGAGGCTATTTGCTATAAATAATGCGGGATTGTATACGACTTTTAGGCAGTATTGAGGATCGCAACTAATAATTTCACGGACGACCATCAAGATCATCTGATAGAAAGAACACAGGCATTTTTTAATAAAATGGATTCATGAGATCCCTTTCGAATTCTAATTAGTACCTGTCGTGGAACAGAGTATAATGTTATGGCAAATTCTTTCTCCAAATCCAAAGCGCGGATCTGACGCAAGTAAAGTTCTGTTGAAAGTCCATTAGTAGCAAGGGCAGGTTTATAATCCAGTTCTTCTGCGCTCACAGAACAAGTATCACGCACCGAACATCCAATATCCACATTGACGCAATTTGCTTTAGTCAACTGTTGCTGCCATGCTTTGAACAAAAACGCATGTATATCATATTTGTTTGTCCCTTTGATATCGTGAGAGATTAAACTTTGTAAATGAAGTTCGCGTAATGGCGGTATATACACCTGGATTTGAATAGTTATTGAAAATATATGAAAATAATATAAGTGTGCAAGTCGATAAGCAGACAATCGCTTTATTCGGCGAATTACATTTTTCTCGTCATTGGTCATTCTTGAACCATCAAGTTTTAGATCCATAATTTGGTGATCCAACCACATTTATTAGACGACTGCGCCACATTCGCTACGTATTACGTAAATTACGTAAATCAGCGTAGGAAGATACGTAATATGATTGAATACAGAATACAGTATAAATATATAATTTATGTAATTAATCTAATTAATCAGTGGTTCATGATTTTTTTACTCGACTTGTAAAAGGAAAACGAATCTCATTTACAACAACGGGCGGCATTCATTAATCTCGGTGACGCGAACTTTTTTCCAAGATGCAATTCCTTGATCTTAGTGAACCTCTCCTGGTATACGCACTACTAGGCGGTTTTATTCTATTTTACGGCTTGGTGTCGTTAATCGTGAAGGAAAAGTTATATATAAGCGAGGCCTGTACGCAAGTTAACTCCAAGTAGATAAAAATTCTGAAAGAAATGAAGCAAGCGCTAATCATACTAATCTTTATTTCGTCTTTTTAGTGGTCGCAACATCAGTAGGAGTGATCATAGGTCCAGCTTGTTTGCAAATAATTAATCCGAGGGTACGGACCATTTAGACTATTCTTGTGCAAATGATTCTTTGAATTTTATTGATTAACAGATTGATATCCATAATTCGTTCTCCTCATTCATCTTTAAAGGAATGGAGCCAACTAAACGTGATAACCGAGGAATTAACGCGTATCGTGCTTGCATTTCAGGTAAAATAGGTTTTTTCCTGATGTTTCGCTTTGGTACTATTGAAACTAATTTCTACGTCATGCAACTATAGGTTATGACCGCGGCGATCAATTTACCCAGGTAATTGAAGTTATCTCGAACGCGTTTTATATGATCGACTGTCCAATTAACAAATAGATATACGTAATCATTAAAGAGCGTATATAACGCGTCAATACCGCTCAATGGCCATAATGCTCATACCCGTTATGTCATTTATGTGGATCGTCAGTGCAGCCATAATTTACTATTTTATACAAGACTTGACTTTTGTAAGTGCTCATCATTGCAATGCTCTTGTTAACAGTTCTTCCTGTTAATGTTTCTCTTTTGTAATATTAGATCGAAACTCTATTGATTGCCGCATGCATTACGCCGACTGATCCGGTGAGGTTCGCTTGTAATCTAATTCGGTTCGAGCGATCTTGAATGATATTGATCTAATGAGCTTCTGTTTAGATACTGGCAAACTCGGTTGTTCAAGGTTCATTTGCTGAAAAGCACATTCCATCCCATGTAAGATATTTACTTTCCGCCGAGAGCGGTATAAATGATGGTGAGCGACAATTCACTTTCATAATGGACTGTTTTATCTTTATCGTTCGTTGCTGACTTTTTTTCATAAAAGGAATGGGGTTTCCATTTCTTTTTTTCGCACTTTATCTATTAGAATCACCCAGAGACACGGGTACCGCAATTAATAAATGGGTTTGGTTTGTTTGGGGTTATCATATTTTGTTTTCAGTTGTGATTGGATGTTTTATTGGTTGGGCTGCGAGAAAATTACTGAGATTGGCGGAGAGTCGGTAAGTGTTGTATTGAAATTATTCGTGTTATAAAAGAACAGGAGAATAATTATGAACCCAAATTATAGCGATTGGATTGACAAAGAATCTTTTCTAGTATTTGCCTTTGCACTAGCGGTCAGTAAATTAGATTTCCTTCTTTTTGTTTTAATGATATTGATTCTGATGTATTGTTATGTTTTCAGATTTTCGTGGTTGGTGTTGTTAGCATTCTTGGGTCTGATGCGTTGCTGGCATGTTTTATGGCAGGCACATCTTTCTCCTGGGAGTAAGTAATTAATCATCTATGCTTCCTCTATTTTGCTCGTCAGCATAAATAACACCAATACATTTTTTTTTAAAGTGATTGGTTTCGTGAAGAGACTCGGGATGCGAAACTGCAAGATGTTATCGATCTCCTTCTAAATTTAACTACGTTTCAATACATCGGCATGATAATTCCATGGTCTTCATTTAATTCGGAGTATATTCCATTCGAGCGCCTGCTTATCGTCAGCATTCTTATTTTAATATTCAGGCGTTTGCCAATTGTTCTACTACTTAAAAAGTTTATTCCCGCTATTCATACTTTCAAGGAAGCATTGTTTGCTGGTTATTTTGGTCCGATAGGTGTGGGTGCCATATTTTTGGCTGTGACCGTCGAAAAAGAAATCAATAAGAATCTTGAACGAGAATCGGAAGGCATCGATAGGGAAGCCATGTTGCGTACCCGGGAAATAGTGTTTCCAATCGTGGCGTTTATTGTTATCAGTTCAGTTTTAGTCCATGGAATTACGGTTCCCATACTCAACATTGGATCCAAGATCGATATGGAAAGATTTCCAAGTATTGCCAGCATCAGCAGTCAAGTTGCACGATTGCCAGTAATCGACTTTGTCGAAAATTTGGCGCTGGAAAGAGATAGTACTGGACGTGTCGGGAGAAAGAAAAAGATGAAAGCGGAGTTTGATACTGTAGTCGAGGTTGAAGATGAGAGTGAGGAAGAGAGGGATGAGAGGGAAGACGAAAGTGATGAAGAAGATGAGGATGAGAGAGATAAAATAATTTTTTGTAATGTACAAACTAACACGTTGATTGATTTCGGAGACGAAAACGATGAGCTTCCCAATAGTCCTGTGGCACGCATCGTTGATGAAAATGATTATTTCAACCAACAGAATGGAGAAGGTTCGAATGATGTTCACCTGCAAGGCTCAAGTCAGAAATCATAAATCTTCTTTTGCAGTAACATGCATAATTCAATTTGACACAATTCGTTATTGAAAATACGTTTCTTTTATAAATTGTGCTTCATTTAACCAAATTATTGATACAAAAATCAAATCATATTTATTGCCGTATACAAATAGTTTCCGTATAATTATTATAATTATTGCATTATAAAATAAAATTTCTGCTGGAAAGAAATAAATTGATTCTTTGTGTTACATTTCACATTCGGGCCACGTGATTTGACGTACATATATAAATACACCATATTGAAACTTTTTTTTTTAAACAAATAAAAATAAAAATGGTTCGCAAACTCAAGTACCATGAACAAAAGTTACTCAAGAAAGTCGATTTCCTTCAGGTAAATTTTTACATTGACTGATTCTTTTTGCATTGATTCTGATCATTCACGATTTTTTTTCGCAGTGGAAAGGCGAAAATAATGTTCGAGAAATTCAAGTTATACGCCGATATCACCTACAACAACGGGAAGACTATCATAAATACAATAAACTATGCGGTTCGATAAAAAAGCTGGCCAATCGAATCTCTCTTTTGGATCCACGTGATCCTTTTAGACAAAAACAAGAGACTGCCCTGTTGGAAAAATTATACCAGATGGGCCTGATAACGGCCAATAAACAGTTTAGTCAAGTGGACAAGATTACCGTGTCTTCCTTTTGTAGGTATGGATCATGACCAATTGCTCATGGTTTTTGTGAAAATCACGGATTAACGGTCTCCTCATTATAGGCGACGGCTTCCCATAGTGATGTGTCGGCTGAAAATGGCGGAAACGGTCAAAGAGGCTGTCACGTTCGTCGAGCAAGGTCATGTTCGGGTTGGACCGGAAACTGTTACCGACCCTGCATACCTGGTCACAAGGTATGATTCTACCTAATTGTTTCATATGCTGAAATGTTCAAGGTGCGTCTTTGATCCGAATTTACTTATATTCAATAGAAATCTCGAAGATTTTGTCACGTGGGTGGACACTTCAAAGATCAAGCGCAAGATCATGAAGTACAATGATAAGGTCACTATGAACGATCATTATTTTCGATGTTTTTTTTTTTCACATTGACGCACAATAACACGTTTTTTATACTCAAAAATTTAGCTTGATGACTTTGACTTATTATAACTTGGATCCTACTACCCACACTGGCAGATTCACGGTTGTTCAGGAGAGACAAGAATTGATAGCGAAAATAATGTTCATATGCAATCAGTTGATTTTATTTTTTAGATTAATGAATGACTAATTAATAAAGAAGAATGTAATAAATTAGAATTATTCCAAAAGAAAATATTGTTCCTCTTTGGATTCCATGATGCAATAATATCATCTGTAATTTTTTTCAATCTGTTCCAACAACTTCGCGGTTAAATAAAGAGAGGATTCAATGTCGACAGTCGAATTAACCACCAAACTCCAAGTGTCCTTTAATGGCGCTACCAACATTGGTCAGGTCGATTAAGAATGTGTCGTGCCCATACATAGAATCCAATTCATAATATGTCACATTATTATTCCCTCCTTCTCTCAGACAATCGGTAATCTCCCTCTGTTGCCAACACGGGAACAATATGTCTGATTGTACGCCTAATACCAAAGCTGGTACTTGGATAGTCGACAATCCTTCTACAAGATCTTTTCTACTATCACTATTCGTCAGGGACAACGACGATATGTGTCGACGCTTGGGTTTCTCCTGTTGTGTGGTTTTCGGCTCAATTACATTACAAGATTGATCATTCAATATCCCCCGTAATCCATGCTTTTCAAACTTTTCCGTGTTAACCTCTCGCCGTTTTTTAGTAGCTTCCAATGAAGACGCAGACATATCAAATAGATCCATCGCTTTAGAGACATATAAAAGCGAGTTTGGATCGTATTGCAGACAGAAACGTTCACCCTTGATTAATGAAGTGAGTTTAGTCATTATTTAGCGGCTCACCGTTAACGCAAGTCACATAATTTTAACACGAAATTACCTGATGATCGAGATAAGTTTCGATCAAGAAATCTGGACATAACGCCGGCGTATTTTCACTTATTCGCTCTCTACCAAACCGGCTTTCCCATTCAGGACCCGATCGATAACTGATGCGCGATTATGTGTTATAACGTTACATTAGGATTTTATTCTAATGAATAAAAAAAAAAAACGCGATTTAGTTTTGCACGAGTTACCTAATGGTGGCAATTTCACGTGCCAGCTGAAAGATGAATAATGATGGTTGATTAATCATAAGTGTAAAAATAAAAGGCGAACAATCGTTACATCTATAATATATATCTAAATAAATACCTTCATTCCAACATGCGGAATAATTGAGTTGTAATAGAATCCTTTTTTCCAATTGGGATCTGACATCAAAACTAAACGGAAATTTGGGGAAAAGTGTTATGACATCACACAAGAAATATATCACATAAGTCATCTATTTTAAATACCCTGTCTTTGCGTATGTCTCAGCGCGATGGAATACGGATGTGACCTCGCGCAAGCAGATATGCTGATAATTTTCGATACACGATCTGGGTACATCCACGCCGATGCCAGAGACTAATTGACAGAGAAATAAACAGGTTTCCGGGTAGTCAGACTTTACTTCTTTGTGAAAAGCCTCACTGATAAAATTAAGTAAAAAAACCTGCATTCCGCCCATACTGCTGCCCACGCTGGCATACAATTTCTCAATTCCTAAATGATCCAACAATAGAAACTGTGCTCGCACCATGTCAAAAATTGTTACTATGGGAAATCGGGTTGCATAACGTTCACCATCCGAAGGGTCAATCGACGAAGGACCGGTTGATCCATAACATCCACCGACCACATTAGTACAGATAACGAAAAATTTGCTGGTATCGATGGAAAGTCCGGGTCCTAGTATAAATGGGAGAAGACAAGGTGAGAACGTAAAAATGGCAATGATATGATACTCGGTGACACGTACCGATAAATTGCTCCCACCACCCGGGATGAACGTTATCCTTGTGACTCTTAGCGTGACTACTTCCAGATAATCCGGTATGGATCAGAATCGCGTTGTCCTTTTTTTCATTTAATTCGCCCCAAGATTCGTACGCAATATCAAGTTCAGGAAAGGCACCGCCGAAATCGCATAAGAATGGTTTGTCATGATGAAAAACTGAATATCCGGAAACAATGTTTTCATAAGCTGGCTCCGGACCACCGTCCAAGGATCTACTACGAACTGCTAACTGATCTATGCAAGGAAAGTCTAAAGGAGGATTTGAGCTTTTTATGGTTTCACGCTGGTTGGAAGTGTTTATGGTTGCCGATGGGTATTGTTCTATCGAAGGGATTTCTTGCGCAGCCGAAGCATTATACAATCTTTGAGAAGTATGGAACCCTAAAAAAATTTATCAATTCAGTGATATTATCGATTTAAAGCGGCGTGAGTGTAATTGTGAGGTTGCGCGAAGGACTAAACTTGTACTAGCACTCCAATTTATCTTCGTCACACGTGTAGAATGAAGCTTGCGAGTCAGCAAGTTCGTGACTCCCGAAATTTGCTGCCCGCACCTTTCTACGTTCTTCGCATGAAGCAAAATACCACGAAATAAACTGGACATTTTACGAATGATTTAATCGATCGAGGGAAATTATGATATTTATATTTTTAATTCATGTGTTACAAAATAGTACTACCATGTTTAAAATGTGAGAATGTGAGATTACTAATCAATGATACTCTATGATTCTTAGAAGATGTTGGAAAAATTTCCACCGGAATTGGGAATTGATTTTGGTGTACATCGGTGGAGAATCACAAGTCATTTCTTTAAAGCGTTAAGCGAACTTTTTAGGCCCGCCGAAATTCATTCCTTTCGTCCAGACGAACAGGTGCAACCAAATAAAACTTTCATTCAAGTTCGGGTCTAGAAGCGAAGTGACAACAGTGATATTTTATTAATTCATTTCACCGAAAATTTGTAGTTATTCTCTCATTCAATGAATGCTGAATTAAAAGACAATAAATAGATCAATAGTTATGGAAACGAAAACTAAAATTTGGCAGTAAAGAAAAAAGAATAATTGCAAGATTGTTTCTTTTATATAAGTGAACAAGTTAAAAACGTCGGTCATGTGAAAACCAATGTTCCAGGCGGGGTGCAGCATAAAGTAGGAATGTTTACACTATACCATGTGGGAAAAGCATGGAAAATGATCTCGGCTAAATTTAGAATGGCGCTAGGCGATACCCAGAATAATCAGTCTATATTGTTTAATTATACGATTCCCTTTTGTTGCGTTTGAAAATTCCCTATTTGTGTCGTCGTATCAAACATTAGAAAGAAATAATTAGAATCGATCCATTTTGGTTGCTGGCTACCAGTCTTTCAAAGGTCTGTGCATTTGAAAGGTTCCTTTCACCCTTTCAAGATGGATCTCGATTATTTAAAATTTAAACATTGATATCAATTACGTAATTTTAATGAATAAATCGTTCATTAAAAAAAATTCCTTTGTTTTTTGTTAAACACAAAATCGCCTTTTTTCAGCATTTCGAGCCCAATTACACCATTCTGTTACATCCAGTTTTTGTGATCTTTATATATTTTTGCACTACAATAGATAAACTGTAACAAATAGCCCATTACATTTAAAACCTTGTCTAACCCTGATTTTTTTTCTTTGCCATACAAGGCAAAGCTATATGATCTACGGTCGGTGAAATAACCTATTATACGTTAACGGACTCTGAAAAGTTTTGGTTATCCTAGCACTGCAGTGTCAACAATTTCCCCTTCAAGCGATATATTTCCCGACCCCACCGTTCAAAAGGTATTTTTTTTTTTCTCACTTTTCTTTCTCTTTATTTCGCATTTTTCCCCTTGCTTCTTTCTTTTTCTCCAATAGTCGCTCTGGTAGCTGGGCTATTGTTTTCTGAATAATAATTCGCTTATAACACTGTATAGTGGTCCACCTTCCATTTTCACTTGCGGTCATCATACGCCTATTGACATCAACACCCGTCATATCAACGCGCAATAACCTCAACCAGCAAGGCGTAAACTTAATTGGTCACTTCAGTAGCAAAAAAGAAAGGGGAAATAAAATTGCTTACCTACATCTAATTCACCTTAACGAACTATCAACTCATTTACGAGAAAGAATCACACAATATTTAACGACAAATTAATCAAAAACATGAATACCATAATAATAAGAGCGTTGAATTCTGCTTCGTCGACAGCGCTGACGGCTTCGGCAACAGCTTCGTCTACAACCTCGGCATCCAAAGATACTGAAAATAGTACACTATTTAAAACAATTGGTATAATTCTTGCCTTATCTAGTGGTATGTTTATATGCATTCAATGTTATTATCTGTGTCAAGCATATTACGCACGAAATTTAATTAACACTTTTTCAAAGGCGTTTTCATCGGATCGTCCTTTGTATTTAAGAAGAAAGGACTTCTTCAAGCACAAGGCAGTAAGTATCTATTTATCCATGTGTTCAATTTTAATTTCTGTGTTCTTATCTTCATTCAATTTTTTTTTCCCGACTGATTAGAGGTCGCTGGCCAGGGACATGCCTATCTCTCAAATGGATTGTGGTGGGTTGGGATGATACTTAGTAAGTGATCTTCTTTATTTTTTGAATCTTGTCAAAACCACAAACTAAATTTTTCTCTTCCACACTTTACCTTCTTCAAGTGATTATCGGTGAAATATGTAACTTTGTAGCCTACGCGTTCACACAAGCGATCTTGGTCACTCCTTTAGGAGCCCTTAGCGTGGTCATAAGGTATGACCGTTCTGTGAGATTTTTTCTTATGGTACAATTAAGATATTGATTATAAATTGAACTGAAATTTTACTAGTGCCATCCTGTCGTCTATTTTCCTTAAGGAAACGTTAAACTTCCAAGGCAAAGTTGGATGTGCTCTATGCATCATAGGCGCTATTATTATCGTGATGCATGCTCCGAGTCATCAAACTGCGTCAACCATTGAAGAGTTCAGAGAATTGTTCTTCCATCCTAGTAAGTGGAACTGGTTGTCTCATGAGATCATGAATTCGCTATAAACGTCTAACAACTTTTTCTTTATGTAGTTTTCTTGGGATATGCTATATTTTGTATAGTGGCCTCCGCATTTATCATATGGAAGCTTGCTCCAAAATATGGTTCAACAAATATGCTTGTTTACATTGGTGTTTGCTCGCTAATCGGGTCTCTGTCCGTGGTGTCAACTCAAGGGTTAGGCACTGCGATCCTCACAACAATCACCGACCCATCTCAAAATCAGCTCAAGGAATGGTTCTTCTATGTGCTCCTTGGTTTCGTGGTTGTTACCTTGTTGACCGAGATCAATTTCCTAAACAAGGCTTTAAACATTTTCAACACTGCGATGGTGACACCTTTGTACTATGTCATCTTCACTGGTTTGACCATATTAAGTTCGGCTATTCTGTCTCAAGGTTTTGATGCTCAACCGATTAGTATTGTGACTGTGGTTATGGGTTTCCTGGTGATATGCAATGGCATCATTTTATTGTTCACTTCGAAAGGTGCAACCATAGACATAAGAAATTCCATCTATTCCATGCCACCTGAAGATATTGACCCTAATGATATTGACAACAATCCTGGTGCAATGGAACTTCGTGGAAGCTTTGGAAGTGTTCGTAGATTCTCGGGTCATGGACGCACTCATCCCTCCTTTAATAATACGTTCCCTTCGCATAAAGACAATGGCAATAATGGTAAAGACGGAAATCGACCGCACAAAAGAAGTCAAAGTTTGAGCGCCAATCATAGAGTTTCGACTGGTTTACCTACCATAAACGAGTCAGCTCTGACTCTTAATACCATGAACCCACATCCGGACGTAGATACAACGCAGACCGAAATCAATATAGCGATGGAAGAGTCATTCCCATCACTGGCTCGGAATTCATTTGTTCATTTTCTACCATCGCATCCACCACCACCACCATCATCAGATGATGGTAACACCTTGCCAACACATCGTAAAGCGCCAATTATTCACACCACATCACCATCAATTTCTTCCACCAATTTGAATATAGATTCGCAATTGCCACATAACGGAAACAAAATTCCGAGTCTTCCACCAGTATCCCCTCTTCAAAACATCTTTCGAGGTTTGTCACCTACCGAACCAGATCATCATGTCACCAGCGAGTCGTACAGTGGTACGACACCGCATGTAGGTAGAAGCATCAGTAACTCGAGTAGGAGATCACAACAATCAGTAGGTTTAGTCGATAGAATAAAGTTAGGCATTAGTTCTCCCGTTGGCGAACAAGAAGAGAACGATTTTGAATCCTTGGTTGGCAATGATCCGAATAGCGAAGGAGCAGGAAATGTCATATGATAAATGTGCACTCTGGCAGATGTATGGGACTGAAATCACCGCGAGCAATCATCTTAATATCTCTATTTATTAATAAGTTGATATTTTAAATTTGTAATTTACCCTATATTCAAAAAAGGTTGTTCCTTTATACATATCCAAAAAAAAGACCTATATACATGTTGGGACTATTTTACAAAAGGGATTCACATTTTCCTTCGTGTAATATATTCATTTTCAACACTCATATTACTATTCATGATTAATTGAACTACTTATAATGTTGGTTTGTGAAACCTAGAAGACTTTGTATGTACAAAGAGGTCTGTGAAGGAGTAAAATGAATTACTTACTTTAATGTATATTTATTACCATCTTTTCTTTAAAAAAAAAAAAATAAGTGAAGAATGTGCTGCTTGAAAATGTTTCTCTTATACACATTGTATAATAAAATGCATTTTTTTTTTTTCATTTTCTTGTCGCCGACGATCGCATATACGCGCATGGAAATTCTTTAAACATTACGCGTTCGAATCACGCGCAGTGTCCAATTTTGGAATGCGCAAGTCAGATGACCTCAACCACCAGCCATCTATCTTTGGCTTTGTAGAGATTGTGGCTTTTCAAGGTGGCTTAAAGCCCTGAGGAAATCATGTACTATTCAAGAACAATGGTAGGCTTAGACAAACACTGTGGGACAATTAGGCACCACAATCTCATTGAACTGCTCCTACACCGGCAAATTCATTGAAAATTTTATGATATCATAACATCACGCGCGACTTAAACAGGGCGAAGGAAATGATGAGAGTCGGGTAGAAAGAGTCTGAGCCAAAAAAACTTGATTTTTCCGACTTTTATATCCAATTTTTCTTTAAGAAAAAGCCTCTACAACATTCGGGCTATATTTAATTAACCCATTTTTGGCAATTACACGTATGAATACGTGAATCGCAATAAAGCCAATCTGGTCCCTCGCCAAGAAAAATTCTCTCGGTACCATATTGCACTAGACACAATATGGCAAAGTACAATGGTACAATGGCAAGTAAATATGAACATTTAAAACTTATTTACCCACAATAATAATTAAATTTTTAGAGCACCAAATTTGCCTAGTTAAAAAAAAGAAAAGAAAACGGGTATCAAATAACTATATGATTTAATAATTTTACTATTTATTTTAAAATAAACTAAAAAAAAAAAAATTGCAGTTTTTTTTCTTTATTAATCTTTTTTACCAAAATTATTATAAAAATCACAAATATATGATAGTATCGAAATATCTTTACCATAATTGATTTACAAAATCCTGCATGCAGTATTCAAATGATTGTTGTAATCTGTAATAAAAAAAAAAAAATTCAAAAATAGAATTTTTGTTTTTTTTTTATCAAGATTGAATTAATAAAAATTGTACATCTGTCGATGTGATAATGAATCGAATGGTATTTGAAAAATGTGTACGTGATTTGATAGCAATAAACAATAAGTTTAAATCATTTGTTAATATAATACAAGTAACGTTATCAATAATTCGTTTTTAAATATTGGGAATTCTTTTATTTTGATAATAAAACAAGGTAAATGAAAACCAAATTAAAAACCTATATATACAGTATATATAAAGATTTTTTGATTATATGTAATATTAAGAAATGAATTTTAAAAAATAAAATTAAGTTAAACAAAAAAAAAAAATTGTGTAAAATTAATTTTATAAATATTTAAAATTGCAATTTTAAAAATAATGTATTTATTATATATCAATAAACTTTTGTTACTGATTTTTTGATTAATTCAAAAAACAAATGTTTCAATATTATAAAATATCATAAAATATATCAAGAATTAATAATATATTATATTATAAAAAAGTTTTAATTGACTTTTGTTTATATAAACAAAAATTAACCTAGATTAGATTATAATAATTTTAAATATGTTATATTTATTTTTAAGAATATACTTAAATATGTTATATTTTGTTTTTTGGATTATATACTTAAAATCATTATAGTATATATATATATAATATCAAGAAATTTAATTATAAAAATTTTAGAATTTCTTTTTTATCATTAAAAATCTTCAAAAAAAAATTGTATATAAAAATTAAAAAAATTTTAAAACTCTTAATTTATATTAAATTACTATTAAATATTTTTATTAACATTTAATTGTACTAAGATATTATAAGTTTATTAAAATAAATACACATTTATATATTTTTTATTTTTATTTTATTTAAAATTATTATTATTATTTTTTTTAAAAATAATTTTAAATATTAATTATATTTTTTATTTCTTTTAATTTTTATATTTTAAAAAAATTTTTTCTTAAAAATAGATTTTTTTTTTACAAAAATTTTTGAATTAATATTTATAATTAATAAAATATTTTAATTTATAAAATATTTTTATAAAAAAAAAATTATATATTTCAAAGAATATTTCTTATTATTATAATAAAATTAAAATAAATATATAATTAATTTTAATTTTTATGATTATTATACAATAGTAATTAATATTTTAAACAAATTATTTTTGTTATAAATAAATAAATAAATTCTTATTTAAATAATTTAAAATTATAAATATATATAGTGTATAATAAAACTTTTTGAAATTTTTTTTAAAAATTTCAATATGTTAATTAATTGTAAATTAATATATAAAAAATTTTTTTATTAAAAGGTATAATATTATATTTATTATTAATTAATTTTTAAATTTATTGTATTTAAATTTATAAAGTTATAGAATTTATATTATATTTTTGATATTATAAAAAAAAAAAGCTTTAAAATTCAAAAATTCAAAATTTTTTAAAAAGAAAAAATCAATATATTAAATTGAAAATTTTTTTTTGTAATTAATTTTTTTTTTTTTATATTAAGTGAAGCATTTCTTGTAATCTTTATTAATAGAGTAGTTAAAATATTACATAATTAATATTAAGATACTAAGATATACTCCCTATCATAAATCACTAGAATTTTCTAAATTTATGCACAATTAATGATCATGATACTTAACTAAAATATTTTTTTTGTGACCAATTACTAACAATAAAGTCATGAAAATTTTTTTACAATTTTATTAGATCAAAATCTTTTATGCTATATTTTTTTTTTCGCGTTTTTTTGTGTTTTTTTTTTTTTTTTTTTTTAAAAAAAAAATTATGAAACACAAACAACTTGACGAAAAACAGTGTGCCGAAATAATTGGTGCTTGGCGATGTGGCCAGAAACCAGTTGTAATAATAAGAACTTTGAGATTACCAAAGAGTACTGTCTATAATGTAGTTAATTATTATAAGAAGAATGGAGAGACAGTATTTTTCTCTCAGCCTGGATGACCTTCCAAAATAACTGAACATGGAACATGTCACTTGATTTGTCTTTTAAAACAAGACAAAAAGTCAACGCTAAATATATTAACAAACAAATTCATCGAATCAATATCTATCGATATATCCACAAGTACTATGTGACGTTACCTTTATGAAGAAGGATTTTTTGATTGGGTTGGTGTAAGAAAACCATTCATAAATGAAAGCAATCGTGTGATTCATATGCAATAGGCGCAAGAAAAAAAAGCTTGAAATAAAAGATGGAATAAGGTGATTTGGAGTGATGAATCATAATTTGAGGTGTTTGCAGAAGATAGTCAAGTATATGTCTGGAGACAGCCCAAGGAAAAATACAATATTAACTGTTTGACTCCTACATTTAGATCGGGAAGAAAGGTGTAATGGTTTGGGGATGCTTTAATTATTATGGTCTTGGATCCTTGGTTCAAGTTAATAGAAAAATGAATGCAAATAATTATGTAGAAATTCTTCAAAATTGTTATTTACTTTTTTTAAGTAATTTAGAAAATATTGTTGAGCAAAAAAATTATAGATTCCAAGATGACAATGCTAAAATTCACACTGCAACTTTTACTTTACATTGGTTTGAAGAAAATAATATTAATCAGCTTTCTTGATCTTCGTATAGCTCTGATCTCAATCCCATCAAATATTTATGGGATGAATTGGAGCGTCATATTCATAAGCATATTCCTTTACCAACAAATGAGTCAGAGCTATTCAATTTATTGCAGGAAGAATGGTTTAAAATAGATGGTTCAATTATTGAAAATCTCGTTAAAAGTATGTCCTGACATATTCTTGCAGTAATTGATGCTAAAGGATATTCCACCCAATATTAATCCTTGTAAATAGTTTTTTATTTATATAACAAATAAATAAAAAAAATTTGACTCAAGTTATTAATTAGGTTGTTGAGATTCTGTAGTTAAAAATATGTATAAAAAAAAATCATTGTACGCTTACTAATAAATTCCAGTAATTTATGGTAGGGGAATATATATCATTATATATGTCAACCTATCACCGTTCTAAGTATATTTCTGATAAAAAATCTTGAGGCAAAAAAAAGATAAAGCAAATACTTAGTTTTGAGAGGCTAATGCCTTCCTAATAATTTATTTTATTCTGTATGTGTATAGCTAAGTTTTGGAAAAATAATTGAAGAATGATGTTAGTTAGTTTGTCATTTTGGTTTATATTATTGGTTATTGAATTGTTCGAAATTGTTTATTGTTATTGTTAAGATTGGTGTTTTTTTGTTTTTTTGTGTATTGTGAGATCTGTTGTTATTGTTATTGTTAGTGTTATTATTATTATTGTTTTTTTTGTATTTGGTGTTTTGTGATATGTCGAGGAATTTTTCTTCTACAATTATTTCTTGGTTTTTGAATATCCATATTTGTATATATAGTGATTCAAGTGTTTTGTTTTGGATTTCATTGATGTTTTTGAAATCAGTTTGTATTGGTTTAAAATTTTTGAAGATTGTGTTTAGTTGTAGAGTGCTTGTTGTGAAGTTGACAATGTTGATATTGGTGTTTAGTAATTTTTGGATTTGTTTTTCGTCAAGATTTTTGTTGTTTTTGAATTTTTTTTCCAGTAGTATTTGTATATTATTGATTATTTTTTTGAGTGTT